AAAAAAAAAAAAAAAAAAAAAAAAAAAAAAAAAAGGAAAATAATAATAATCATAATAAAAAGCATGGCTTAAGTTTTACCTTTTGTAAGATATCGAAAATGATTTGCACTTCAGCGAATAACAGGAAATCTTCCTATAAAAGAAATTTAAAAAATCAACTCTTTAAGAGAACGGGGCTTTGAAATACGTTGATAGAGTTCTTTTAAAAGAACAAATAAGTAGGATGAGGAGAAGGAGAAAGGCTACAAGGTTCGCGCTGAATTCTCGAATTAGAGCTTTACCTGTTTATTTAAATCAAAAACTGCATTTCCTTGTCCAGGGACAGCCACAGTAATGACATGGGAATCTTTAGAAAACTTTACTCCTTGAGAAAAAAAGAGTCTGTGTTTTTAAAATAGGTCTAAAATGTGGATAAATATAGAAAAACTCAATAGTCGAACTTCAGGTGGTTTGACATTCAAATGGCTTTCTTACCATTTCCAAAATTATTTTTCTCCAACTCGGAAAGAATCTACGAAAAAAAACCAAAATTGATTAAAAAGATACCATGAAGATTGAGGTATTTTTGATTATATCAGCCACCAAAGGAATGAAGGGAGGAAAATATAGTTTTTTGGGGGCTGAAAAGTTTACAGTGAGAAATAATCATAGCAACTAGATTGTCAATGTGAATAAATCGCATAATTTCATGTTAAACATTGTATATATTCTGTAAACATGCAAAGAAATATTTGGTATTTGGAGATTTCACATGTTAAGAGCTTGACATCTTTTAATTCACGAGTTTCCATATGATATCGCGAACGACCGAGTCCGCGCGCGATATGAATGAATAAAAAAGGTTCTTAGCATGTCATAAATTGTTTACAGTTGACTCTCCCGTAAGCGACCACCCCGGGGCCAGGAGAAAGTGGTCGCTTACGGGAGATGGTCGCTTACAAGAGTTAACACAGGAAGCCCAAACAATGGGAATCCCAACACAGGAAGCCTAAACCATTTGTAATTTGTAACTCACGTGTTAAAACTAATCAAAACTTTGAATGTGCTCATGATGTGTTTACAGTACTGTAATTGTCAATATGAGGTAAATTACTGTATTTGTAGTGATCTCTAACTACAATAACAATAGAAATCTTTTAACACACATGCATACTGTATTATGTGCTGTTAATGTAAGGATCTGTCATCATTGCTGGCTATGCTACTGGTGGTCGTTTACGGGAGAGGAAAAACAATGAAAAATTCCAAAATTTTAACCCCAAAGGTGGTCGCGGTCGCTTACGAGAGTGGTCGCTAACGAGAGAGTTTTTTACAGAGTTTATATGGGAAACAAAACGGGAAATTCAAAAGGTGGTCGCTTATGGGAGATCGTCGCTTACGAGAGCGGTCGTTCAAAGAGAGTCGACTGTATTACACATTTAGGGTCGATAAAATGAACAAATTTACAATTTCCAGTTTACCGTGAACTGATATCGTGTCACTTCACTGATATGGTTTTTATTCACGGCTTTATCACACTAATATGGAAGCTAAATGTGTAATAATTAAATCACATTATAATGAACGTTTTACGTCTTGTATTAAATATTGGGAATAAACCAAAAAGGGAATAAAATGTCAGGAAATTATTATTTCTTGCACAGACAACATCCCTACGTAATCCAACTCCTCAAGGCTTTTTTCCTTGTGCTTCAAACGGAAAGCTATGCCCTGTGGAATGTCTCAGTCGTTTAAAAGAAAAACATTTTCCAGCACAATTTAAGCAGAAGGTTACGCATGTTTACAGTGTACCTGGTTCTTGTCACGCTGTAAATCTTGAAATATCCCAGCATTATCGTCATCTGTTAAAAGGAATTTTTTCTTGTCTTGGTTGTAGTGCATTGTATGGCTGTTCATCCCTGCACCAGATCCGAACGCAGCGAGCTTTACAAACAAACAAAAATATCATCTTAGAATTACTTTTATCTCGGCATTACGCATGAGCAGAGTATATTTTGTGTCTTCCTTCTGGTACTCTAGTTTCCATCCCTCTTCAAATGCTAACGCGCTAAATTCCCATTCGATCTGTGTGAGTTACTATTGTAGCCGTGCCCTGAAATAGTTCTGACCAAATGTTATTAAAGGGTTTGATCTGTGAGTAAGCCGTGCCCTGACTTACAGTAGATCAGCCCAGAGGTTGTTTCAGGGTTCAATCTGTGAGTAAGCCGTGCCCTGACTTACAGTAGATCAGCCCAGAGGTTGTTTCAGGGTTCAATCTGTGAGTTAGCCGTGCCCTGACTTAGATCAGCCAAGAGGTTGTTTCAGGGTTTGATCTGTGAGTTAGCCATGCCCTGACTTAGATCAGCCAAGAGGTTGTTTCAGGGTTTGATCTGTGAGTTAGCCGTGCCCTGATTTAGATCAGCCAACAGGTTGTTTCAGGGTTTGATCTGTGAGTTAGCCATGCCCTGACTTAGATCAGCCAAGAGGTTGTTTCAGGGTTTGATCTGTGAGTTAACCATGCCCTGACTTAGATCAGCCAAGAGGTTGTTTCAGGGTTTGACCTGTGAGTTAGCCGTGCCCTGACTTAGATCAGCCCAGAGGTTGTTTCAGGGTTTGACCTGTGAGTAAGCCGTGCCCCGACTTAGATCAGCCCAGACTTTGTCTCAGGGTTCTACATATGATTTTTCGTTTTAGTTTTGTTTGCATTAGGCATAGTTAATATTAGGATATAATATCAGTACTGCAATATATATATATATATATATAAAATTCTTGTTTAAAAGAAAATCTTTGATTCTTACCATAGGATCAGCAGAGACTGACAACGTCAAAGATCTACCACCAAAAATCTTCGAAATATGAGTAGCTAAGTTTTCTTTCAAGGCATTCAGTTGAGAAAGCATCCCATCTAAACCAGAAACTTCATCGGTCTAGTAAAAACGAAAAGATTGAAAACATGATTTAGAATATTATATTCTGTCACAAACATGGCTCTAAAGCGAGAAAAAAAATAAACTGATGACTAGTGGTTACTGTACTAGAAATTAGATGTTGAGTAAACGTGTAAAAAGATGTCCAAAAGAAAATAAATAAAATACAGGGTTCGTGCTACATTCTCGTTACAAAATTCAAGGACTTTTTAAGTACTTCTCAAGCACAAAAATTTGATTTTCAAGGACAAAGTTTTTTGTATTAGAACGTGGTTTAAACATTGATTCAATGTTACAGTGCAGCTAATTCAGCCGGGGCCACTAGCTGAGATAAAAAACGAGCATGACACGCAACCAACCAGTAAACAAGCAACCAGAAACTCTTCAATCAATTTTAATCGTTATTTATTTTAAAAGGTAAGTTAGAAATAGCATTAAGTTTGCATTAAATTCAAGGAGTATTCCAGGAGTTTTGGCGTTTTCTCTATTTTCAAGGGCTTTTCAAGCGCCCTTAAAAATGTGTTTTCAATTCAAGGACTTTTCAAGGATTGAACTCTGAAAATAATAAAACGTCATAACAAAAGATATTAATGAAAAGTGAAACGTTCATTCATCTCATAGAGACTCTTTTGGGTGCCTAAGGATGCAAATGAGTCGCATTTCGAAAATTTTAAGAGATTCCTTATCACCGCTAATAAAAAGAAGTATTGGGAAAGAAGATACAAAGGACTGTTGTCAACTGGGACTCTCTCCTGTTACCGCTTCTTGTCACATGCTCGTCTTTTCTTTCCCTTCCTTTGCTGTGTTGATTGTAATTACGATTAGACGTAATGTGTGTATTTTTTTCTTGGTGACGAAATCAATAAAATAAAATAAAAATAAAATAAAATAAATCCTTACCTCTTGGATGGGAAAAGAAACTTGTGCAGGAACATTTAAGCTATCATCTAAAAAATACAGAAAAAGATGAAGGACTTGAATTATAAAAACCTCGTTAAACTATAGTCGTTTGTAAGAATTGATTTCCTTGAACAAGCTAAAAATTGTGATGGTGATACAAACTTAACTTTAAAAACCAAAAAAATAATTAACTATATGTCTTATTATTTAAAATTTAGGATCAATGAAAAAATTGGTCTTTTTTTACAAGTTAAACCGTGTCAATCGAAAGTGAACTTTAAAAACGTAAAGCTTATTATTAAGCCTTATTTCATGGAAAGAAACCGTAATCTGATTGGGAGGTCCATAAACACTGACCAATCAGATCAAAGTTTCTAAGGCAGGTTTGTTAGTAAAAAGGATTTTACTTGTGAGACTGCCAACCCTACAGTATTACCTTGTAAAACCCCATCTACAGCGATCAGGATTCTTGCTTTAGGACGTCTGAACATATCCCCTGCCATTAGACCAGCCCAAGTTAAATCCTACAAGAAAAATAAACCCAATGTAAGGGATTTATGAACTGCTGTGCTAATAAAAGCCTTTCCTGTTATAGTTTAAGCTTAGTTTACTTGTCAGTTTTCTGCATAGGAATGCAACAACAACTGCAGTTGACCTCCTCCGCTTGGGCATAATGTTTTCCCATTTCAGACCACATGTCATTCCCTTGATAATAAGATTCTTTGTTTGAGTTGTATCCATATTCATCTCTCTTCTCATGCACAACTGAGCACAACTGTTAAACAAAGAAAGGATACTCTAGGGAATGACATGTGGTCTGAAATGGGACAACATTACGCCCGATCYGAGGAGGTCTATTCTCAATAATTTGTAATCTCAGACATGTCAATGGCTTATTGTGAAATTATCATTTTTCATGTCGTCAGTCAAAAAAATAAAATGTACCAACTGATTATTTTTGATTGACAGCAGCGAAACACCAAATTTCAGTGTGCAGCTCATAACTACCGAGTTTGCAGAACACYGAGAACCACAGTCAAATATATAAGAACCCCTCTCCACCTTTGTAGGTGTACGAATAATGATTAGCACTATTTCAGTTTTTCAAGAAATGGCATAACTAAGATTGGTAGAAAATGAACCTCCCCTTTCAAAGTCCTAGCGATGAGTCTGAGCTTGAATTCTTTGTACAGGATTCTTTATAGTATGCGTGCAAGTCCAGAAGTTAAACCCACAACCACAGCTATGTAAAGCAGTGCATTAACTGCACACAATGCTCATTTTCAAAACGAATTTCGGGATATTATAATGTATTGTGATTCTCCTAAATTTGATCGTGAGAGAGCTGCCAAAATGAACCTGTATTGTCATCTCAGAATTTCCTTTTCATAGGAGAATAGTCTCTTTCACAGTTCCCTGTGCCATCTTGAAAGGTAGCCGTGCCTTTGCATCGAAGCGAGACGAACGGTGAGCTTGCAATGATAGAGACCTTCTAACACTTTTCAAACAATTATTCACAGGTCTCTATCATTGCAAGCTCACCGTTCATCTCGCTTTGATGCAAAGGCACGGCTACCTTTCAAGATGGCGCAGGGAACAGTGAAAGGGACTATTGCAATAACAAACTTATTGCAATTTGGAATCGCCAATACAGGTTTATATTGACGCATGAGGAAAGGAAGCGACTATCTCCAATACTGCTTATATTTTCTCTTAACTACATGTAGGTGTTAATATAAACCTGTATTGGCAGCTCTAACAATATTTTTGAAATATCATATATTTTTGAAATAACATACTCCCAGGACTTTAGAACACTTACCTTAGGTACAGAGAACCCAAGAGCCAGTGTATTAATGCTAGATATCTCATTGGAAGGGATTGGTCCAGCATCTTTTAGGAAGGAGACATAGTTGGGTGCATGAGTGATAGACAGCATGGAAGCCGCAGTGGCCTATGTGAAAAACAGTTCATGTTTAGTAATGACTAAGTAGAGCACATGCAGTAACACCATGAAACAAAAACTAGGTTCTTGATACTGACAAATAGTAGCTGTTTAGTGACTGATAGTTCTATCACTCAACCAGAACATTCTTTACATAAAAGACACAAATGGCCTCTTGCGTATTTGTTATTTGCGTAATGGATGTTCTGGTTGAGTGACAGCAACTATTAGTCACTAAATAACTACTATTTGTCAGTATAGACTTTGTTTTTATTTCATGGTTTTACAGCATGTGCTCTTAAGTGGACTAAGTGCGCTAGAAAGGAAGAGATAGATATGTTTACAAAGATAAGCCATAGTGCTAAGAAACCCAACAATAATACATGTACCCCAAGGATTGCTCTTAGAATACAGTTATTTCAAAAAATGGTTAAAGGGATGAACGGCCATAGGTAATAAGCAATAGGCAAAAAGCAATAGGAGAAGAGATGCAAGATAAGCTGGAATGACTTGTGCTTCTTATTGTCATTCTTGTCAACAACACAGATATCCTTGTTGTAGATATTTGGTAGTTTTTGTAGCACCTTGATTATTCATGTTTGGATGTATTCTCACTGTGCCTTTGGATCGTGCAATTGCCAATCAGTGGTCGACATTTGCCCTTTCAACATTTTTTTGAAATGGCTGTATCTTGCACAGGAAAAAAACCGGATTCCCAAGTTGGGAATTGTTGGGAATTTCCTTGAATTCCTAATTCGACACCAACGTTGGAATTTACTGTTGGGAATTCCCTTCTAATACCCAATAGGAAAACAAAATTCCCAACAAACTATCAGTGCCACGTTCCAAATTTCGTTCTCTCTGGGAATTGGATGGGAATTCGTTGGGAATTCAAGGAAAATCCCAACAAATTCCCAATTTGGGAATCCGTTTTTTCCCCCTGTGAATTGGTGATAGTAATGGTAAATAAACTGAGTTTGTACATGAAAATTATGGTTTATGATATGAATCTGAAATGAATGGGGTAGACTGTTGGAGACAATGTTAACCAGCTTAACAAGACGAGAGTGTCCTAAGGCAGAGATGATGCAAGCCTGATGGAGAAAAAAGATCATGCTCATAAGGATGATGATGATAACTTGATTTAAATTCGGTGTTATGGGACTTTTTAGGTCATATAACATTATCCAGTACATGAAACAATTTTAAGTAGGCAGTTACTTTTAATCCAATCAGAATGCTTGTGCACTGTAATGATATATTTTTCTCTGTTTTTAGCCCTTCAAAGCTGCTCAAATCTTTTCTAATATAAAGTTCATGTTGATCAATGCAAAAGTTTATAATGGTGGAGCAGTGGAAGATGGTGGAAGTGGAGGGGAGGGGTTAAGAAGCACTTTTTAAAGTGGAGGGGGAGCTAATCTCTGTTTTTCTTCATGATGGAACTCAAACTAAGACAAAATTATATGAAATTCCCAACATTGGGGGGGGGGGGGGAGACCAGTTTAAAGGTAAAGCCCCCCCCTGCCCCTCCGACTCTGCCATCCCTGATGGAAGTCTATTGCTGATTAACCTGTCACAAATTTTGTCTCCACAGGGTGTAGCAATGAAAACGGTGCTAATTCATGTCAATACCAAAAGGGTCTATTGATCACATTCACAGCCCCTCCCTTCCCCCTGTCAGGTTAGAATGGCCATCATTATACTCTATCCAACATTATGATGAAATTTGCCATGAACTAAATTCCAATCCTATATACAGCCAATTTGACATCGGAATTCAATTTTTAGTCTGATAAAGATCTTTCAAAAACAGGTGAAAATGCAGAGGCACTAGTGGAGCAACTTTGTGACATTGTTTGTAAGCATCAATCTCTGTGACAATGTATGCAATATTAGTGGCAACATGAAGTGGGAACAGAATTTAGCATGTTCATTGCAAGCATTGTCGCATGCATTTACTGCTAAGTAGCAATCCTTCCATCTACCCTCCCCTCCCCTAGCAACATGTTTTGTGTACCAGTAGTAGCAATCCTTCCATCTACCCTCCCCTCCCCTAGCAACATGTTTTGTGTACCAGTAGTTGACTCTTTAACCTATTTTCTGAATATTCAAGGTCTAGAATATACTAGACTATACTATATACACCTATTTTGAAAATTGTTGTCGCACCAAGAGCCTCAAGTAACAAGCCAAGGCTCCAGAGAACGTTGGTACTTTTAATTATAATTGATTTATTCATGGTTCATGCAAGTGGCTATAGCTCTACGCTAATTATCATCTCAAACAGCCTTGCTTGGAGCAATTTGTGAAGTCCATAACAGAAAATGCACCATGAATAAACTAATTACAGCTAAAAGTAGTGACGTTCTCTGGGGTCTTGGCTTGTTGCTTGAGGCTTTTGGTGCGACAATGATTTCTGAAATAGGTGTATACTATGTCTGAGGCCGAGCTTGTTTGGACTTCATGTCTGTCCTTAGCCTGTACTAAGCTGTTAAATAAAAAATAAAAATTTAAGATGCTTAAAGGTTGCAAATGTATTATCATAGTTTGAGTTGCTTAGGGAAGGTAAGCTGTTTATGGGAGGGGGGGGGGGGGGGGGGGGGGGGGGGGAGCTGAAGCTGAGGCTTCAAAGGGGAGGGTCATCACCATCTCAAAAACAGTAATTTGACATTTTCGAATGGTCAAAAATTATTTTGATGAAAGCTCTTTTCTTGCAGGGCCGTAGCCATTATGAGGCAAGCAAGGAAGCTGCCTTAGTAAAATGTCACAAATGTCCCTCAAAACTCTGGAAATCACATTTTCAAGAGCATCAATTTCAAAATTTTCTGGGGCTGCATGCACCCAAATACCCTAGTTGCTCCTACCTTCGTTGCTTGTTTGCCTTAGTAAGCAATAACTCAGTCTGGCTTCAGCCCTTCTTACACAGTGAAAGCAGAAGTGCTAAAGCTATCTTCAAAAGAGTTTACTGCAAATCCTCCTGCCCTTCCCGCAATAAAAACATACCTTCCCTTATTGACTGTAATTGTTTCATAGGATAATGTACTGTATAATGTTATAAGACCTAAACAGTCCCATAACACCCAGTTTAAATCAAGTTATCATCATCATCCTTATGAGCATGATCTTTGTTCTCCATCAGGCTTGCATCATCTCAGCCTTAGGGCACTCTCGTCTTGTTAAGCTGGTTAACATTGTCTCCAACAATCTACCCGATTCATTTCAGATTCATACCATAAACCATAATTTGATATCAGTATGTCATATGAGATATACCTTGGCTGGTTCCTTGATGATAAAGGCATGTCTAACATCATTAGGAATCCCTAGTACACCTACAACACACATACAAAAGTCAACCAAATGGTTAAGTCACTGATCTTAAGGACAGTACACAAAGATAACCTGCTATTGATGGTTTTCATAGCCACCGTGTTGGATGAATTTAACAAAAGATCTGTCATTAGTCTCTTTTGTTATATCATCCAACATGGCCGCAATGTCTTTTGTCTTTTCTCTTGGGAATTATTGCAAACCAGCAATTGGGAAATTTTGCTCCAGTGGCTTGATTGGAGTAACATTAAAAGTACAAATAGAGATAGAATAGTTATTCAATATGTGTAGTAAATTAAACTACAGTTTATCTGATCTCTCACCCCTTCTTCCTACTAGTGTTATGAAGGGACATAATGCAAGCTTCTCAGATTTGATAAAAGTGAAACCAGTTAAAAATGAGTGGTGATAACTAGTAGAGTACTAGCGTGGACTGTGTCAGTGTTTCTGAATAAAGCAGCAGAAACTTGTGGATAAATTGAATCACCGTAAAAAGCTTTGTGAAACTGACGTTTCAGATGTTTGTCCTTCCGACTAACGTCCGAAACATCAGTTTAACAAAGCTTTCTACGCTGATTTAAATTATCCACAAGTTCCATCAGTTAAATATGATTTTCTCCTGATACAAAAACTATTTTATTACAGACAAGACCCTGTGAAGTGTCATGTTTATCTGTATGTGCCAGTATTTAGACTTAAAGTTTTCACACAGGAGCTTTGGAGGTGGGGCAATAGAAAGGGAAATCCCCAAACACCAACAACAGTTTTATTCAAGAAAATGAAAAAAAAAAAAAAAAAAAAAAAAAAAAAAAAAAAAAATAAATATTAACATATTTTATGTTGATTGCAGGGAGTGATTGCTAAGTCGTCCGAGCCAGATGCTCATGTTTATGTTTTTGATGCGAGATAAAATAGGAATCTAGTTGTTGATTTAGGAGAAAAATTAGAGAACTCTGAAAAAATGAACCTTGAATCAATGGAGACCTAACAAACTGTGCTCACATGTAATGCAAAGTCCAGCATTTGTATACAAGACCCCAGAGGTAAGAGGGGAGTGAACTACCGCTACAACACCCTTGATTTTCCAATGCAACAATGAAAGAAGTGTAAAAGATGAATAACAAGGCGATCACACTACATGACTATAAATCCCTGGCAATGATTTAACAACAATTAAATATGTACGGTGAGGGATGACTCTCACACCTCCCTGCTTTAAGGCATAATCCACAATAACTTCCTTTAGAAGCTTGCTGGCAATATAACGTGTAAGATAATCTGACAACATTCCAGCCGAATCACCGTAAACCACCCACCAAGAGACACTTGTCTGTTGTAAACATGACATATAAGACGAGACGGAAAAGTCGATACAAAATTTCAACATCGGGGGATTTTTAACCTTAGTTCTAAAGAATGAATTCAAACGTCTGGTTTGCCACAAATAAGAAGATTTGTCATCAAATATTATAATTCAATCATCACAGCCCAAAGCGAATCATAAGTTTTAAAACCTTCGACCAGAAACAAAAAAGTTCAGAAGGAAAATTCTTTTTAAAGACGAAATAGAATCGTTAAATATTTCTTCAGATACAAAATTCAATTTATAATAAAAGTTCACATATATACAAACTTACCAACAGATAGAAAAATCACAAGAAAAATTGCGATAAAAAGTGAGAGATGTGAAACCTTTTGGTCCGCCATCTTGGATTTCTGGTTCTTCAGTCCCGTGACCCAACGCTGACATGATCCTTCGAAGGCTCAGAGGTGAAGAGATATCTTAGGAGAATATACTTTATTTGTCATTATAAATAGCTAAATGTCTAAACATGTTATTCGATCTTAAGTACAATTAACACTATGTGAGTTAAGCATCATGTAAAGTGTATTACAAGGTTAATAAAGTGGTATGATAATGCATTTTGCGTAATTCTTTAGAGGAAATAGAATATCAAAATGTAGATTCTCTCAAACTCAGATTACGTCATATTTCATGGAGAGCAGCATATGTAAATGTGAAAATGAGCGCGTTTTACGCTAAAGAATCTTTGTTTTATCTCTGTGATTTTTGGTGTCTAGCTGACTAAACGTCTTTCGATTTCCCCTAGGAATGGCGTCTGATAATACCTCAAGTATCTGTGATATCCTAGGGACTCCAAATGTGTCAAAATTGTCATCRAACGTTGAGGAAATTGAGAAAACGTAAGAGTGGTAATCACATTGTGGAGCGTTATGATATCGTCTGGGGTCGAATTGTGTTCCGCCTCATGCCTATCTTGAAGAATTCTCTTCTTATATTTTTCTAAAGACATCCAGACGCCCTGGAAGACTCCAATACAGTTAGTGTGAAACCTATACTCAATCAAGATACACCGCCTCCATCAGAGGTATGAATGATTATTGAGATTTTTCATTATAAGACATCGTAGTATGCACTTCAGTGTACTACGATCGAGATCGCACTACACAGCTACTACACATTGATCTGGCATCGCTCTTAAAGCATTATGAGACATAACGGCAATGCATATGCCTTCGTTAATCACGTCTAAATATTACAGTAAGTAGCAATCGCTCGTACTTCCGGGAGTTTCACTGATTCAAGTCCTTGATGCAACGTGCTCTAATCACTGGACGTACAGCATCCAGGATCGAGTTTGCAGAACGTCTCGGAGCTTTATAGTCAATGCGAAATGCTAACTTTCGTTTATCAGGAAAGATTTTATCCGAAATGATTTGACCAGCATGCAAATTTATGTGGACTTAAGTTTAAATTCATGGTAATAATTTGACTGAATTGGTACGTCCACGATCTTCTGACGACCATTTTCTGAGTGCAAGATAGTCTGCGTACGCCATAGTAGAAGAACGTCGTAGGATCGTTCTTACCGCGGAGAAGATCGTCTGCGTTTCAGTCTTAAAACCTGTTGAAGATCTACAAGTATAATACAGAGGCTCTATCCACTACCATAAGAGTATATGAGGTACGCCATAATAGAAATATTTCCAGAAATTCAACGTAGTCGAACCAGTATATAATCCCAGTAACCCCCGATCGATAGAAGATAGAAGTCGGGATCAGCAGAACATGAGCTAAGTAATTCATGACCATTCACACGTGATGCTTCCAGGCATGCAACGTGTTACAGAGGAAGATTAGTGTCTTCTTGTCGGACAAGGACAACCCAAGGGCCTTTAAGTCCGCCATATTGGTCGAAGGACCGATATTTAGGGATTTCGAATTTTTGACCCTTTCGACATTTGTTTCACAATAATGGACGCGTATGCTTCTGTGATATCTGTATTCTCTTCTCTAGGTGTTTTCTTCGTGGAAATCGTTTTATTTGCTGCGTTTAATTTTTTTAAGCATACGTACTTTAGGATGGAGGCTGATAGTCGGGCTTCAAGGAAACGTGGGCGAAGGAGCTTGCTCCCTTTCTCGTACCACGTATTTAACGTACTGAAAATCCTTCGATATATCCATCTTTTTAGAGATGTGAGATTTGTTTAAAATACGGGTTATTTACCCAATGCCATTTTATAAACCGATTCATATAGGCCATACAGAATTTACCCAATATGCTGGGAGTCTCGTCAAAATCAAACGGTTTCGTCCTTTGTTTTACTACATCAAACAACAAAATAGAATAGGTTTTTCAAGGATTTATTCTCACTTTTGCTGATACGTATTCAAATTAGGACTATTGCTATCGATACTGCTCTGCCTCTAGCAAACTAGTTACGTTGTTGCCCAGAAATGCCTGCTTAGGTCGGGTAAGAACAAGTTTCATTTGAATCGCTACGATGAGATTCATATGCTATGACCACTGAACTTGCGATTACGAGTAAACTTTTCCAGTGAACGTTTGCATTATGTCGAGAAACTGAATGAGTGGTATTGTGGAGATTTTGATTATGAAGAGAAGCTACCCTAGGTACCGTAGCTTCAAAACTGAGTTGGCAGTGCTTTTTTACTATACAGCTTTCTTTGCAAACCCAAATAAACTGTGCCGATCCACCTAAATAGCAGAACGAACATGGTGAAAAAATGAGAGAGTCGTTTTTGTATTACGAAAGACGAAGATTCAACTTTAATACGCCGTTCTGTGCCGTTAGGGTTGGTTGGTCTATCGAACTTCCAGCGATGCAAAACTAGTTCACGAGGTTTGAACCAAGGAGCAAGTCGTACTGTTCGAGTTAACATGTATGGTATGTATGGCGGTATTAAAGTCATGCCCGCATCATGCCTCAGTTAACTTGACTACAGAATGCCTTTTTGCCCACCCAAAAATATTACCTTTGTGCGAGAGAAAAAACTACTAGCTTGAATAAATGGCTTGAAAAGTATGAAATATTTATGCGTTGATGCATGTATAAAATGGTTCGATTGGTGAATTCCGAAGTAATGTTGGAACAGAGTTTCGAGTGCGCTTAGTTAGCTCTAATTGCAGTCCACACTTTTTTATTAGTCTGTATTTACAGGATTCAAGAGGTTTGCTCGTTTTTCTATTGATGGCCGTTTTATACGGAAAGCGAATGCTTACTTTGTCACCAAACTATCTCAGCTCGTACAGTACAATTTTAAGTTTTTGTATGCTAAATCTTCGCTTTCCACGTCAAAATCCTTGTATTACTGCACGTTTGCGTAGCCTGAACATCTAGTTGAAGCACGAATCCTTGGGAGAGTATTCGATGCTATTCTGGAGTCCTTAGATTAAACCTTAGTTTGACTTAAATTTTAGCATTTACGCTACCTTACTAGTTTGCATTTATAACACCATCAAAGAAGAATGCTTTGAAGATGCTAGTGCTGCAGAATGGCGTATCTTGAAGCTAAGGGAAGACTTACATTATTCGTATGTTCGTTTGCAACTGTATCATAAACGTCCGTTAGTTACTAATAGACGTCGTAATAACCTTGAATTTAGATAATGCAATACCAAGTGAAAAACTTCCGTGTACAGCAGACAGAGAGCCACTCAAACCCGAAACAAAACTGCTATTCTTTATCTGAATTGGTTTGCCCTTTTTATATGTCGTAATACGAAGTTTGATTCTTTGATTTTCTTGATAAATATGGCCTAAAGTAAAGTGAATTGTAACCTTTCGCTTTCTAATGTAGAGCCAGAGGGCAGACACAATCATTCAAAGGCTAATAAACCGGCGACTACTTGCGTTACATTATTCGGTTGTTTATTATGGCGCTTGACAGTTTTGTCACGTAACGTATGTGTCAGACCACTGTGTCACGCCCTCTGCATATCGGTTGTCTCATATTAGTTAGTATTTGGAAAGCTTATTAAAAATGGTTGAAACACGGTTTTTATTAAATGTAACATGTTAACCATGTGTGAACGATCTTCAGAATCGAATCTCTCACACACCACAGCAGCTCCTGACAACTCTTTATACTTTTCTTACCATTGGTACCAATTCTAGTATATTTGCTGTAGCTGTTACTTTTACTGTTGATGTTGTTGTTGTTACTGCTGTTCTTCTTGTTGCTGCTAGTTGTTGTTGTTGTTGCTTCTGCTGCTGCTGCTGTCGTTGCTGCTTCTGTTCAGCTAGTGTTGTTGCTGCTATGTTTGTAGTTGGTGTTGTTGTCCTTTTGCTATTGTTGTTGCTGCTGTTGTTGTTTTTGCTGTTGTTGCTGTTGCTGTTGTTTCTATACGAAATTCTAGAAAAGGATTTTCGTTTGTCAATATAATATATGAATTTGTAGCATGCTTCTTATCACTGGTTTTATTTCAGCATCTCTTACCCTTACATCTTTCAGTATTTTTTGAATTTTTCCGTTTTATTCGGTTATTCTATTAAGTTCAGTCTGTTAACTTGTAATGTCAATCTTTGCTTCCATGTTCTGTTCTTTGTAATTCGTTTTTTCTGTCGCTCTAATTTGCTATTTTCTCAGTATGTAACTACTGAATTCCTCTCTTGTACAATGCATGTCACGATTCTACACTTATTTTTCTGTGTCGTATTTTGATTCTTGTTTCTTGCTACCAACATTCTTTTCCTTTTGTTTTTCATATTCTCATTCATCACTGAATCCCTTTCCTATTTACCGAAGAAGTCTTCAGACACTATCTGATGATATTTTAATCATTTACAGAACTCAACCATCAAGAGCTCACTGGAAATCTCTGCAGTTCCGAAGCCAAATAATCTATTTGAAATACTTATCAAGAAAGTAGAATCGGTCAACAATAGGTGAATAAAAATATGTCAATTATTAGTATATTATTAGATGTTATTAATAACTTGAAGGCATTTCACGAAAAGTGTACTGTACTTCCAGATTGAAATGAAGTAAAGTTATTTTGTAAAGTGTTGAAGGTTTCCTAAACCGGTTGAGCTTGTTCTTTTGAAATTGTCCCTTCTAAATTTTACTTCGTGTTTGCGTTACTCATTTCAGCACTTTAGAAGAATCCTCTTGTACCACAGAAAGAACGAAAGAACAACGATCTATAGATACAAATGTAAGTCTATTGTTATCTATCTACTGAGTCTTGCAGGTACAAATTCAAAGCGCGCGTGCTGTGTGCAGTCATAAAGCACGCGGGGGTTGGCAGAACGCTCGAGAAGTGTTAGGAGAATAACGACGCGTATCGGAGTGCTTCTGAACACTTCTCGAGTGTTCTGCCAATCTCCAAGTGATTTATAACGGCACACAGCACAACAAGCAAGTATTTTTATTTCTTTTCTGAAATTTTCATTATCTTTATTATTGTATTTTAACAGATCAAAACAACGACAGAAATGAATGGAACGTAAGTCAAAATTCTAAAATGAAAAACTAAAAAAAAATAGCTTGCAGTTTTCAAATTCAGGCAATATAGTATTAAACCAAATTAACGAATATCATACAATGATCTACCTTTCTTTCCAACTCTTTGTAGCAGTTATTGAGTCCTTGGACTTAGAATAAACAAGGAATTTCCATCCTTCGCTCGATAAATTGGTTTTTATATTTACGTGGGTTCCCTGTGTTTTTAAAGATTTTGTTGTTGATTTACCAGCTTGTCGAACGGCGAAGCAGGGTCGGAGAACCATGAACAAGGTAAAACTTTATTATTTTCCCTTCTATTATCGTGTATTTTGACATAACACCTTTTTTTTCATTCTAGAAAATGGAATGCAAAGCAATTTGAGTTCTCATCGATCAATCTTCGAACATCTACGAAAGAATTTTCGAGTATCCGAAGACAGTCCGCGAACAACACCCGAAGAATCGTCGAGACAGTCGGAAACTTTACCAACCAGACCCAGTGACAAAGACGTCACGAGTTCCTTTGGTACAACGGTGAATGAATCGACTAGTCGAGGTATGTCAACATTTTACATTAATTTTCATTGAAAAAGATATATAAATTCTATGAATATTTTCATTTAATACGACTTTGACTAACCTACCATGATAGAATAACTGTAAAAAAGCACATAAAGATCAGAAAATATTTGATCAGAGCATTTTCGCGCCATTTTGGAATTTTCAATTGCCAACTCCTTATATTCGATTTTTTTCTTCTAGAAACCGATTTTGATGGAGAGAATACGTCCAGGTCGACAGTCAAAGCACAAATGAATTCCATATTGGTCGAAAATAATTCTATTTCGACCTCAGAATCCTGTAATACCAACGAGAATTGCCAAGAACTAAACCTAAACGATGGCAAAGATTTTCCATTTACCAAAAGACTGAAGTGGATTTCGCAGCGGTCACGTGAGGGATCACCCTCGTTGCTACAGCAACAGCAAATGCCAATAGAGGTAGAGCAAGAAAATGTGATTACCAGTGTTATTTCTTCGTCTTACGATGACGAAACGGCAACGAAGAAAACAAATGGAATATCAATGGATTCAACTCGCACAAGCGTGATTAAATCTGCTGTTGCTCCACACAGTCCTAAAGAACTCGGATTCCAACCTCTTTTGAATGATAACCAGTCCACAACTTGTGGTTCGGTTTCATTACGGTTACATGATGGGAAAACAGAAGTAACGCAAGTGTTACGAGGTAGTGATAATGTCAAGTCTCTGGAAACTGTTCGAACTCCTGCCAACGATGTACATTTTGTATTGGATTCCAGTCCTTCTAGAGTCTTAGAACTGAGTCGTTCTGTGACTTCCACGAATGGTAACGTAAAAATTCCTTCGGAAAACAGTCGTAATTTGGTAACAGAAACAGGACAGTTCCATGTTTTACCGGCTGAGAGTCGCAAGCAAGTTTACTCGGTTGTGCGGAGTCCGAGTTTGAATGGCGGTTTTGTGAACGGTGTTGCTAGAACTACGGGAAAAAAATTCATAAACTTGAATGAGCAGAATCCACAGATTTTTAACGACGAACAAAGATTACCAATTAATGGAAATTATGTACCGCAGAGCACTGTGGATCTGTCTTCCACGATTTATTCAAAAAGTCCCATTCATTCGAAAGCATTCTCTCCAATGTGGGATCGAAGGAGTGTCGTGACGTCATCGCTCCCTATCCACAGGGTACCCGCATCTGTACAACTCTGCTACGACAATGGATTTACTGCAACTTCTACTTTTGGTAGTCCCGTATATCACCCGAGGACTCGCGGAAGTCCCGTAGTATATGGGTCCCAGAACCAACTATTTCAACCATTACAAATGCAACCAAGGCAAGAGATGAATTACTCTACCCGGTTTTACCAAAATCCTGGAGTAACTGCCGTCAGTCAAAATATCCTGTACTCTTGTAACGAGTACATCACTAAATCCCCTCCCCCCTATACGGTCAGTGAGCGAGTTTTTCGCCCGGTATCACCCCAATGGCCCCAGGTACTTTATACCACTAACATGTCTTCTGGTGCCAACTCTTTTGCGCAAGTCATAAAAAGTGAGCCCACGATCAGCGATGAGGACAGAGACGAATACTCTTATGCATGCGCACTACACGAATCTGCCAACAGCCCGGACATTGAACGAATGCTTGGTTCTGAATCACCAGATAAAAATATTAGTACGGAAAATTCTTCGTCAAGTAGCGAAATTTCTTCAAAGGAATCAAAATACTCAAAGCTTAAACCATCCATCGAATTCATATCGTCGCACGAACGAACAACATCTCATTCGACTAGTTCGACTAGTTCGGAAACGGCTCGATACTCGAAGAGAGTTACCGAATTTCCTCGGACAACAAGTCCGGGATCTGCTCGTACTGATATAAGATATGGCGATTCGTCTCCGAAGACCGATTCGTTAACGAGTCGGTGTTGTGAGAAGGTCGTCAAAGCAACCAAAGAGGATTCTTTAGATTCTTGTAAAAAAGAAAAGATCAAGAATGAGCCAAAAGAAGATGAAACCAATTCTGCTATTGAACAGCAAAAGAAGCGTAAAACAAACTTAAACGTAATTCATAAAAGACTAGAGCCCAAGCTTCCCTCGCCAGAGCGGGAGACTAGTTCGGGTGATCTTTATCGGGACCCCAGTAAACTTACCCGCGAGGAACGGGCGCTACAGCGCGCAATGATGCAGTTTAGTGAAATGGAAATGAAAGAGAAGGTTGCGCCAGCTTTGCCGAAAAAGAAGCGAGTCAAGAAAAACAAGACGAATAAAAATGTAAGTTTTTGCTAGCGGTGTTGAGTACGTCTGCAGGCCGTTAATGCACGCAGGCTCATTAAGAGACGATTATTTGAAAATTTTTTTTTTTTTTTCTAGAAGAACGTCGAAACAAATCCAGTAGAACGAAAAGGAAAACTAGGTAATAGAAGATGTATAAGGAAATCGTGGTTTGCACTGATTATTCCTTAGAGAATGAAATACCCATACAGCAGCAGAGCCGCCATGCTGGATGACATAACAACTGAAAGCAATATCAGTCGAGATGTTTTTGGAATTAAAAACTCGACTTTATGTTTGAACGTGCACTGTTGCTCGTCATGGAATGTGTCATCCAATATGGCGGCTATGACGTCACACGTGTTAACTTAGTAATCCTTGTTGTCGTCAAACTGTTTTTTTTTTGAATTTATTTCCAGCATCGTCAACTTGGTTACTTAATGTCAAAAGAAAGGTAATAGATCCCCTTTAGACTTCGCGTTATTCCTTTAAGAATTAGTAATTTCTTTTCCATCAGCGCTAGAGAAGGCAGTAAGAATTCACCATTCGGATCCTGCTTTTTGATTGTCACATAGTAAAGCACCTCATTCTATAGGATAGGTTTTGTTAATTATTTGGAAGACCAATGTATCGTAATTTGAATCTAGTTTTAATGTATTATTTTWAAAAAAMAACAACAACAACAACAAAAAACAACAACAAATCGTGAAACTCGTTCCAAACGGTGAAGAGCGCCTCAGAGGAGATGCATGAAAGTGCCCTTCACCCATAACTCAATATTTTCAGTGTTGATTCTACATGAATTGAACAGTTGAATGGTAAAATATTCTTATATGATTTGAGTGATGCATCTTGGAGATATCAAGGTTTATACTTCCAATATGCTAATGAGTGTGATGTCATTATAGGAATTTGAGTTTATTTGTCATCATTTGTAAATTGAAACACTGAGTATTATGAGAAAACAATTTTACGATAACCTTTCTATAAACTCTGAGTAAGACAATGATTTTTCATACAGAATTTTTTTTGCTGCCCAGAAAAGTTTTGTATATTTGGTTATGCCTCCTCATTAGCATATTGAAAGAATAAACCTTGATATCTCCAAGAAGCAACACTGAAATTATATGAAAATATTTTTCTATTCAACTAATTCACTTCATGTAGAATCAATATTGAAAATATTGAGTTAGAATGAGGGGCACTTTAATAAAGTAAAAGGTTCTATTGAGACTAAAGGGGAGCAGAGATAAATCTGTATTAATATTTTGATGTTTATTTTTAGCAACGCAACTGGCTTGCCAACCGCGAGTCGAAGTTGAAGAAGTCGAAAGAAGAACCTTCAGGTAAGTGAGAAGAATGCTTTTATTTTAACGGTTTTCTGTTCCCTTATTACGGTTCAACACTTCTGTCAGTATCAACAGAAAACAGATCTACAAGAGTTATCACTTATATGAGTAATGAAACTCCCCATAAGGAAGCTTTGAAAGCTCTGGGCTGGGAACCTCTCAAAAACCAAAGAGAGAAAACAAAGGCCAAGCACATGTAAAAAAAACTTAACGGAATGGTCCCTAAGTGTCTTGTAGATCTCTTTACAAAAAAGCAAGACGTTACAAATTACAACTTAAGGAACTCCATTACCTCACTGCAGTTACCTCTTCCAAAAACAGAATTTGGTAAAATAAGCTTCTCTTATGATGGGGCAAAAGTCTGGAACTCCCTACCAGAAAACTTAAGAAATTGTAAATCACTGCCCGTGTTCAAATCTGAAATTGCCACTCTTATTCTATCTATTTCTTAGTATCTAATTACTTAATTTACTATGTATTATTGTAGCTTAATTAACAGTTGTTGTTGATTATTGATTAGAATATAAAATAGTATTAGCTTTTCATTGTAATATTTATCCACACGCCCCTTGTGGAAATCAGCTTTAGTTGACGGGACAAACGTGTTTAAATAAAGTTAACCTACCTACCTAACAGGGCTGGAAAAAAAACAACAAAAAAACAGAAACAATAAAAAAAACAAAAACGAATCACCAATCGTGGATATAAAATCGCAGACTCACCTGCTACCAATAACAAAAGCCTTTGGTTTTGGGAAAAATCTCAAGATCAGCCTCAAAAGTGCAGAAGTTAAGCTTATTTCTTACTTAAAGTCAAGGGGTAAAAAATCTGTTAACCAATAGAGAACATGCTAAGGCAAAGGTTTGCTTTTATTGTATGTAGAGCTTTTCTGGTGTTTGTACAAAAATGTTTTCCCCTGAAAACTCTACAAATTTTCGTGTTAGATGGCGAAGGTTTCGAGCGGCCATGTTTGTTTTCTTGGACAATTTGACGCAGGCGCAAACGTTTTTTCAGCCCCGTTGCCAGAAATGTCTTCGAATTATTTTCCTAATTAAAATGTTTTACTAGTTTCATTCATTTATCAATTCATTCATATATTTATTTATATATGTTAAATATTAATAGATTCTGTTAAGAAGCCCAGTGAAGATAGTCCAGGTGTAAAAGTGGAGCCCCAATTGTCAATCTGTGTTCAAACCGTAAGTTATATGTTGACGATTACGTACCCGTTCTCTTATATGTCATGATCTTTTCGGTCACCGGGCTTCCTGTGGTATTGAAAACGCGTTTATTTTAATTCTGGTATTTCAGGAGCAGAACAAAAAGACGCTGATCAAAAAACGAAAGAGAAATGGTAAAATATTATTGTTTTTAATTTTTTTAGTACTTGTTTAGATTAGAGTTTTAGATTAGATTTTTACAATTATTCTTTACTGTATTTGAAAAGTTTTGATAAAAAAGAAATTCATTAAATTCACTTTCAAAATTTATTTTTCATTTTCTGAAAGAGTCTATCAGTTCAAACTTTCTATCGCGCTAACTTATTGGTCTATTCAAAATCGTATCATCCAATTATAGTCCTCGTACTGTATAATGTTTCTTTTTTGATTCGCTTGCTTAGTATGTTAGTTCGACGACGCCGATTGGTTGAGTGAATATCTTTTAAACCAATCACAGTTTTTGTACTATGTGAATAAATATTGTATTCAAATTCTGTTGTTTTTGTTTCGAGTTCTATAGAAAAATATCACCGGTATCCGTCTTTAATCATTTATAATTCTTATTAACAGACGACCAAAACCATAAAAACACGTCAAGGAAACACAGAGAATTCCCGAAGGAAAGGAAGACAAATCAATCCGAAAAGGTATTTGATATATAACACAATTTTATTTCATTCAAGATATTTTTATTTTAGTTATCTACACAGACAATATTTATTCAACACGGTCCAATGAATTTAAGACAACTGGAACTTAAAACCGCTAGAAAGTTATCATTAATTTCCTAGTTGATCTAAAAATAGGTATTAAAGATAAATTCTGGCTAATAATTAGGGCTTATTTTGATAAATAGATTATATATTTTTCAGGCTTTTATATGTTTTATATCTTTTATTAAAATTCATAACGAATTTTCATTAATGAGGTAGAGTTTTTGAACTATTTTCTACTCGTGTCTAGTCTGGTCACGACGCGATGTCTGTAATGAAGCTCGGTAGATCAACGTTTGAATAGAAATTTAAATAACGAGAGAAATATTTACATTTTGTATCATAGTGCCATGGAATCCCATGTAAAGTAATATCGTGATATTTTTATTTCTAGGTCTTCAAAGAAACCATAGAAGTCTCGACAAACCCTGGTGGTAAGATATTAATTTCCTGTATGCTAAGTATATTTATATCCGTATATATTGTTTTTCAGTATGACGTATTTGTATAGGCAATCGCACGATCTCGAGAAGCGAGTCGCCAATTTGAGAACTTTCAAAACATCACGAGTATCTATAAATTCAGAATCATACGAGAAGATTGTGTGATTTTTTGTTTATAATACACTCAAAAAAGTTGAGCAACTTTATTGGGACTCTGCAGAGTACAATTTGGGATTTAATTGTACTCCTCTTGTCCAATAAAAATTGAGTAATTTTGTTGAGTGTATTATAAACGAGAATATGAATTATATATTGTATTATGGAATGATGGAGAAATGGAATACAAGAAAAAGTTTTGTTACTTTTCTTACTATTTTATTGATTTTATTTATAAAAACTTTTCCAAAGAAAACATTGTTTTTGAAAAAATAATTATAATACGTTTACATTCGAAGAAAAGGCATTGTTTAATTGGCAAATATTTAGGAAAAATACTGCATGTCTTGTTTTTATTAAAGCAATATCTGTAATCTTGTTGCTCTGCAGCATTGGAATAATTAACTAATAATAAATATCAAAAAGAAAATCTCACATAATTTTTTCTTTCTTTCCTTTTTTCTTCCTTCCTTCCTTCCTTCCTTCCTTCCTTCCTTCCTTCCTTCCTTCCTTCCTTCCACATCTTGATACTCCAACAGACGATCCACCTA